AATCTATCGCCGGCGAGAACAAGTAGGGGACCGGGCCATATAGGCGTGATATCTTCGATTGATTTGCGAATTCCTCTAAAAAAAATTTGACCGCCATTACGAGTCGAGCAACGCGACAACACCGCACAACAGCTGATCGAGGTCGGTAAAGTCGGTGACGATAATTCAGTGCTGGAAGCATATGGACACGTATAACACACACAAACATTCATCTCACTGTTACAACCCCACTACTAGCCGAAGCGTGCGATGTTGCCCGATCAAAATTCGACTGTTACCACTGCAGCCACAAGTCGTCCATTATCTATGAATATTTTCTTTAATTATTGTTTTCGAGACCGTAAAAGTACGCCACAACACTTCTAATTTGATGAGAAAAAAAATTTGTAATGTGAATGATTTATTCAGTTAATTTTGTTCTTATTTTCAACTTTAGTGGAAAAATGAAATCAGAAAATGTATTAAAGTGCATGAGAAGTAAGAAAACTGAAAAAAAAATAGGAACGAGGACGATGAACTCCTTTGAGCGAAGGGTGAGGAGTAAATATCTATGAATATTTTCTTTAATTATTGTTTTCGAGACCGTAAAAGTACGCCACAACACTTCTAATTTGATGAGAAAAATAATTTGTAACGTGAATGATTTATTTAGTTAATTTTATTTTTATTTTCAACTGAGTTGTCCACTTGATAGGTTAAACATCCTTAACAACGAGTGGATTTCTATTGAACTCCATTACTTTTTGGCCGATTCTACCGAAATGTTCGTGAGAAAATATTCTACAGAAGAAGTCAATAGAATTCGATTTTTCTACACATCTTATTCTATTAAGATGGTATTCATAGAATTTCCTCGGCTCAAATTTTCCAAGTTTTTCGATTGATTTTCTTGATGAAACAAAAAGAGAAAAGGAATGAAAATTTTTTAGAAAATTTGAGGCGAGGGAATTCTACAGAAAATATCTCAACAGAATAAGTTGTATAGAAAAATCACAATTTAATTCCAATAGCTAATGGAAAGTTCAATAGAAATCCAACAGAATTGTCCAATACATTTTCCCAACATTCACAACCTCCTGTCTTCAGTATTAAAACCTGCAAACAATTTTTTAAAATATTTAAATACCCTCATGGTTTACCACTTTCCACTGAATTATTAACATCCTCAAATCCCCCCCCCCCAAAATTCCATCAAGAAATGATTTAACAAATGAAATTGAATTCATGGGGGTGGAAAAATGAAATCAGAAAATGTATTAAAGTGCATGAGAAGTAAGAAAACTGAAAAAAAATAGGAACGAGGAGGATGAACTCCTTTGAGTGAAGACGGGTGAGGGTAAGACGGTCGTTCCAATTTCGCCGAGTCGCTGGAGGGGTGGGCGATGGATCCAGGGGGGTGTGAGCGCGAGGGGGGGGGGGGTGGAAAAAGTCCTCTTAAAGAGGCTGGATCCTGCCAGTTTCTCCGCACACACGTCCCACTGCGTAAAAACTCCACGTGCTACAGAGGAAGATGGGGAAAAAATATTAACCAGGGGCTGCTGATGAGAAAGGGAATGACACAGGGGACACGAGTACGACCAATTAATTTCCGGTCTCGCGTGAGTTCGTTGTCTCTTATCTCGTACGATAAAAAAGGAATCAACGGTAATGAAGCACGTCACGTAGTGGCGGAAAAGAAAATAGTAATTTTAGTTACGAAAATTGAATCATCTCGGCGAGCAGTTGTTCAAGCACAAAATGTGGGAAGATGTTTTCTTATTTCACATTTTTTTTCCAGTTGCTAGAAAGTTTCTTTGACATTCTGCTCTGTCTCCTCGTTTAAAGAAGATGAATTCATTATGATTTAAAAAATGAGCGGAAGCTGATGAGAAAAGTTTTTCAGCTGAGTTATCTTTCTCGTTGGGAGAACAAAATTTTCATGGTTTACAGGGCAATGTTATCAAACTTCTTGGCGTGACATTGGTCTTCTATTCTGAGTGACAGCTGATAGATGTCAGATGGTTAATATTTTGGAAACAGCAATAAAATGGGGTGAGGGCAATTTTTCAGATGTTTAATTTATCGAGGTAGGGATTGACGGTTGAAACAAGGCTCATCGAGCCCTGAATCAAGGCTCGAAAATGCTCCA